CACACTGTAAGGTGGGTGAGGGCGACACACTGTAAGTGGGTGAGGCGACACACTGGGTGAGGCGGTGGGTGAGGCGACACTGAAGGTGGAGGCATGGTGGGTGAGGGGCGACACACTGTAAGGTGGGTGAGGGCGACACCAAGGTGGGTGAGGGGTGGGGGGGGGCGACACACTGTAAGTGGGTGAGGGGCGACCTGTAAGGTGGGTGAGGGCAACTGTAAGGTGGGTGAGGGCGACACTGTAAGGTGGGTGAGGGCGACACTGTAAGGGGTGAGGGGCGACACACTGTAAGGTGGGTGAGGCGACACACTGTAAGGTGGGGGGACACATGTGGTGGGCACTGTGTGGGGACACTGTGGTGGGTGAGGGTCAGGTGGGTGAGGCGACCACTGTAAGGTGGTGAGGCGACGGGTACGACCTGTAGGTGGGTGAGGGCGACACTGCAGGTGGGTGAGGGGGACACAGGGTGAGGGGACACACTGTAAGGTGGGTGAGGGCGACACACTGTAAGGTGGGTGAGGGCGACACAGTGTAAGGTGGGTGAGGCGACACAGTAAAGGTGGGTGAGGGCTACACTGTAAGGTGGGTGAGGCATGACACTGTAAGGTGGGTGAGGCGACACTGTAAGGTGGTGAGGCGACACTGTAAGGTGGGTGAGGGCGACACACTGTAAGGTGGGTGAGGGAACACTGGGGAGGGCGACACACTGTACACTATATGTTATATATAATAATATTAAATATGGTTTATGTAATAACAATCGATTTTCGTGTGTAAAAAATGAGAGAATCGACCAGATGGTGCAGTGTGTGGCCTAGGAGGCTTTGGTGGTGTGTGGCCTAGGAGAGACTTGGTGGGGGCAGTGTGTGGCCTAGGAGGAACTGTGGTGCAGTGTGGCCTAGGAGGGCTGTTGGTGCAGTGTGTGGCCTAGGAGGCAGTGGTGCAGTGTGTGGCCTAGGAGAACTTATTGGTTGCAGTGTGTGTAGCCTAGGAGAACTTGGTGGGTGCAGTGTGTGGCCTAGGGAGACTTTGTGGGTGCAGTGTGTGGCCTAGGAGGAGACTTGGTGGGTGCAGTGTGTGGGCCTAGAGGAGACTTGGTGGGTGCAGTGTGTGGGCCTAGGAGGAACTTATTGGTGCAGTGTGTGGCCCTAGGAGGAGACTTATTGGTGCAGTGTGTGGCCTAGGAGGAGGAGACTTGGTGGGTGCAGTGTGTGGCCTAGGAGGAGACTTATTGGTGCAGTGTGTGTCCCTAGGAGGAGACTTGGTGGGTGCAGTGTGTGGCCTAGGAGGAGACTTATTGGTGCAGTGTGTGGCCTAAGGAGACTTATTGGTGCAGTGTCTGGCCTAGGAGACTTGGTGGGTGCAGTGTGTGGTCTAGGAGACTTATTGGTGCAGTGTGTGGCCTAGGAGGAGACTTAGTGGGTGCAGTGTGTGGCCTAGGAGAGAGACTTATTGGTGCAGTGTGTGGCCTAGGAGGAGACTTGGTGGGTGCAGTGTGTGGCCTAGGAGGAGACTTATTGGTGCAGTGTGTGGCCTAGGAGGAGACTTATTGGTTGCAGTGTGTGGCCTAGGAGGGAGCTTGGTGGGTGCAGTGTGTGGCCTAGGAGGGAGCTTGGTGGGTGCAGTGTGTGGCCTAGGAGAGACTTGGTGGGTGCAGTGTGTGGCCTAGGAGGGCTTATTGGTGCAGTGTGTGGCCTAGGAGAACTTTTGTGGTGAAGTGTGTGTGTGGCCCAGGGGAGCTTGATGGTGCAGTGTGTGGGCCTGGAGGAGACTTATTGGTGCAGTGTGTGGCCCTAGGGAGGAGACTTATTGGTGCAGTGTGTGTGGCCTAGGAGAACTTATTGGTGCAGTGTGGCCTAGGAGAGACTTGGTGGGTGCAGTGTGTGGCCCAAGGAGACTTATTGGTGCAGTGTGTGGCCTAGGAGGAGAATTATTGATTGGCCAGTGTCTGGCCTAGGAGAACTTGGTGGGTGCAGTGTGTGGGCCTAGGAGGGAGACTTATTGGTGCAGTGTGTGGCCTAGGGAGGAACTGTGGGTGCAGTGTGTGGCCTGGGGAGAACTTATTGGTGCAGTGTGTGGCCTAGGGAGAACTTGGTGGGTGGTGTGTGGCCTAGGAGGAGACTTATTGGTGCAGTGTGTGGCCTAGAGAACTTATTGGTGCAGTGTGTGGCCCTGGAGGGGGCGAGGTGGGTGCAGTGGCCTAGGAGAACTTGGTGGGTGCAGTGTGTGGCCTAGGAGGAGACTTTGGGTGCAGTGTGTGGCCTAGGAGGAGCTTATTGGTGCAGTGTGTGGCCCTAGGAGAACTTATTGGTGCAGTGTGTGGGCCTAGGAGAACTGTGGTGCAGTGTGTGGGCCTAGGAGACTTATTGGTGCAGTGTGTGGCCTAGGAGGAGACTTATTGGTTCACTGCCCGAGAGGTTAAACAAGACAATACCACAGAACCTGGATTTAGAATGTATAAACCCTTGTTCCTCGTCACCACCCCTTGTTCTCATCACACCCTGGTTCCCTCGTCACCACCCCTGTTCCTCGTCACCACCCCCATGTTCTCACCCCATGTTCTCGTCACCACCCATGTTCCGTCACCACCCTGTGTTCCTCGTCACCACACCCCTGTTCCTCTCACCACCCCTTCTCGTCACCACCTGTGTTTCCTCATCACACACCCTGTGTTCCTCGTCACCACACCCTGTGTTCCTCTTCACCACACCTGTGTTCCCTCTACCACACCCTGTGTTCCTCTTCACTACACTGTGTTCCTGTCACCACCCCTGTGTGTTCCTCCACACCCATGTCCCCTTCCCACACCCTATGTTCCTTGTCAACACCCTGTGTTCCTCGTCACCACACCCCTGTGTTCCTCGTCACCACACCCTGTGTTCCCTTCACCACACCCTGTGTTCCTCTCACACACCCTGTGTCTTCACTGTTCCTCTCTGTCACCACCCCCTGTGTTCCTCGTCACCACACCTGTGTTTCTCGTCACCACACCCTGTGTCTCTGTCACCACACCCTGTGTTCCTCACACACACCCTGTGTTCCTCTTCACCACACCCCTGTGTTCCTCTTCACCACACCCTGTGTTTCCTTTCACCCCTGTGTTCCTGCTCACCACACCCTGTGTTCCTGTCACCACACCCTGTGTCTGTCACACACTCTGTGTTCCCTGTCACCACACCCTGTGTTCCTGTCACCACACCCTGTGTTCCTCTTCACACCCTGTGTTTCCGTCACCACACCCTGTGTTCCTTCACTAACTCCCTGTGTTCCTCGTCACCACACCCTGTGTTCCTTCACCCCCTGTGTTCCTGTCACACCCCCTAGTTCCTCGTCACCACGCCCTGTGTTCTCGTCACCACACCCTGTGTTCCTGTCACCACCCCTGTGTTCCCTCGTCACCACACCCTGTGTCTTCACTGACGTTCCTGTTCCTGTCACCACCCCCTGTGTCTCTTCACCACACCTGTCTCGTCAACACACCCCTGTGTTCCTGTCACCACCCCTGTGTCTCTGTCACACATCTGTGTTCCGTCACCACCCCCTGTGTCTCCTGTCACTACCCCTGTGTTCCTCGTCACCACACCCTTGTGTCTCCCTGTCACCACACCGTGTCTTCACCACCTCTGTCTTGTCACCACACCCTGTGTCTCGTCACCACCGTGTTCCTCACCACCCCTGTGTCTTTGTCACTACGCCTCCTGTTCCTGTCACCACCCTGTACCACCACCCCTGTGTTCTGTCACCACACCACCTGTCCTGTCACACCCAGTTCTTCACCTCTGGTTCGTCAACATCTCTGCCCCTGCTGTCACCACGCCCTGCCTACCACACCCTGTGTTCCTCTGTCACTACACCCTGTGTTCCTGTCACCACACCCTGTGTTTCCTCGTCACCACACCCAGGTTCCCTGTCACCACACCCCTGTGTTCCCGCCCACACCTGTGTTTCCCCTATGTCTTGTCACCACACCCTGTGTTCCTCTTCACCACGCCCTGTGTTCCTTTTACTACACCCAGTTCCTGTCACCCCCCAGTCCTTGTGTTCCTCGGTTTTCACCACACCCTGGTCCCTGTCACCACGCCCCAGGTTCTCATGTCACACCCTGTGTTCTTCACTACACCTATGTTCCTCACACACCTGTGTTCCTCTTCACCCCTGTGTTCCTCGTCACCACACCCTGTGTTCCTCTTCACCACACCTTGTGTTCCCTCACCACACTGTTCCTGTCACCACACCCTGTGTTCCCTTCACACCCTGTGTCTTCACCACCCCTATGTTCCTCGTCACCACCCCTGTGTTCCTGTCACCACCCTGTGTGTTCCTGTCACCACGCCCCTGTGTTCTCGTCACTACACCCCGTGTTCCCGTCACCACCCCTGTGTTCCTCTTCACTACACCCATGTTCCTCTTTCACCACGCTATGTTCTCAGTCACACCCCATGTTCCTCACACCAACCCCAGTTCCTCGTCACCACCCTTGTGTTCCTCGTCACATACCCCCATGTTCCTCGTCACCACACCCTGTGTTCCTCTCACCACCCCATGTTCCTCGTCACCACCCTGCGGGTTCCTGTCACCATATTCTGTGTTCCCTTCACCACGCCCCTGGTTCCTCGTCACACCCTATGCCTGTCACCACACCTCAGCCCTGTCACCACACCTGTTCCTCTCACTACACCCTGTGTTCCTCGTCACCACCCCCATGTTCTCGTCACCACACCCTGTGTTCCCGTAGTTCCTTCACCACCCCATGTGTCTTCGTTCCCTGTCACCACCCTGTGTTCCTGTCACCACCCCTGTGTTCCTTGTCACCACTCTCATGTCTCGTCACCACCCCTGTGTCTCGTCACACACCCCATGTCTTCTCACATGCCCTGGTCCTCAGTCACCACCCCCTGTGTTCCTGTCACCACACCCTGTGTTCCTGTCACCACACCCTGTGTTCCTCGTCACCACCCCTGTGTTCCTACCACACCCTGTGTTCCCTTTCACCACACCCCATGTTCCTCTTCACTACCCTGTGTTCCTTGCACCACACCCTTGTGTCTTCACTACACCTGTGTCTCACCACGCCCTGTGTTTCTCTTCACCACCGTGTTCCTCTTCTTCACTATGTTTCCCTCGTCACCACGCCCTGTGTTCCTGTCACACCATGTTCCTCGTCACCACCCCTGTGTTCCCTGTCACCACACCCTGTGTTCCTCACCACGCCCTGTGTTCCTTCGTCACCATTCCTGTGTTCTCGTCACCACACCTCGTGTTCTCGGTCATCACACCCTGTGTTCTTGTCACTAACCCTGTGTTCTCGTCACTACACCCTGTGTTCCTGTCACCACCTCTGTGTTCTCGTCACCACCCCCTGTGTTCCTGTCACCACTATTCCTAGGTTCCTGTCACTACACCCCGTCTTCAACACTTGTGTTCTCGTCACTCACCCTGTGTTCCTCGTCAACACCCCAGTTCTGTCACCACGCCCTGTGTTCCTCATACCATTTCAGTTCCTGCCACCACGCCTGTGTTCCTCAGTCACCACCCCTGTCCTCGTCACCCGCCCTGTGTTCCTCGTCACCACCTCTCGTTCCTCGTCACACACACCCGTGTTCCTGTCATCATCTTTTGTTCCTGTCACACACCCTGTGTTCCTTCTTTCACCACGCCCTGTGTTCCTCGTCACCACCCCTGTGTTCTCGTCACCACCTGTGTTCCTCTTCACCACACCCTTGTGTTCCTCGTCACCACCTGTGTTCCCTCACCACGCCCTGTGTTCCTTGTCACCACCCCCTGTGTTCCCTGTCACCACACCCTGTGTTCCCTTGTCACTACACCCTATGTTCCTGTCACCACGCCCTGTGTTCCCTTTGTCACCACCCCTGTGTTCTCGTCACACTAATTCTGTGTTCTTCGTCACACCCTATGTTCCTCGTCACCACACTGTGTTCCTCGTCACGCCCTGTGTTCCTGTCATCACCCCTGTGTTCCCTGTCACCACACCCTGTGTTCCTCTTCACCCTGTGTTCTCGTCACCCCCTGTGTTCCTCTTCACCACTCCCTGTCCTTTTCACACCACACCCTATGTTCCTCGTCACCACGCCCTGTGTTCCTCGTCACCACACCTTGTGTTCCTCTTCACCACACCCCATGTTTCCTCGTCACACACCCTGTGTTCCTCTTCCACCACCCCTGTGTTCCTCGTCACCACACCCTGTGTTCCTCTTCACCACCCCTGTCCCTTTTCACTACACCCCATGTTTCCTCGTCACCACACCCTGTGTTTCCTCGTCACCACACCTTGTTCCTTCACCACCCCATGTTCCTCGTCACCACACCCTGTGTTCCTCTTCACCACCCTGTGTTCCTCTCTTCACCACACCCTGTGTTTCCTCGTCACCACCCCATGTTCCTCATCCACACCTGTGTTCCTCTTCACCACACCTGTGTCCTTCTTCACTACACCCTGTTTCCTCGTCACACACCCTGTGTTCCTCGTCACCCACCTATGTTCCTCGTCACCACACCTGTGTTCCTCGTCACCACACCTGGCCTTTCCTCTTCACCACCCCTGTGTCCTTTCACTACTATGTTCCTCGTCACCACCCTGTATTTCCTCGTCCACCCACCTTGTGTTCCTCTTCACCCACACCCCATGTTTCCTCGTCACCACGCCTGTGTTCCTCGTCACCACACCTTGTGTTCTCTTCACCACACCCCATGTTTCCTCGTCACCACACCCTGTGTTCCTCGTCACCACCCCCTGTGTTCCTCGTCCTACACCCCATGTTCCTCTTCACCACACCCTGTGTTCCTCGTCACCACCCCCCATGTTCCTCGTCACCACCCTGTGTTCCTCGTCACCACCTTGTGTTCCTCTTCACCACCCCCATGTTCCTCGTCACCACACCCTGTGTTTCCTCGTCACCACACCCCTTATTCTCGTCACCACCCTGTGTTCCTCGTCACTTACACATGTTCCTCGTCACCACCCTGTTCTCGTCACCACCATGTTCCTCGTCACCACACCCTGTGTTCCTCATCCACCCCCGCCTTGTGTTCCTCTTCACCACCCCTGTGTTTCCTCGTCACCACCCCTGTTTCCTCGTCACCACACCCTGTGTTTCCTCGTCACCACACCTTGTGTTCTCTTCACCACCCCATATTTCCTCGTCCACCTGTGTTCCTCTTCACCACACCCTGTGTTCTCGTCTTACACCCCATGTTCCTCTCTTCACCACCCCTGTTTCCTCGTCACCACCCCCTGTGTTCCTCTTCCACCACCCCCTGTGTTCCTCGTCACTACACCCCCATGTTTCCTCTTCACCCCCTGTGTTTCCTCGTCACCACCCCTGTGTTCCTCGTCATCCCCATGTTCCTCTTCACCACCCCTGTGTTCCTCTTCACCACACCCTGTGTTCCTCTTCACCACCCCTGTGTTCCTCTTCACCCACCCCTGTGTTTCCTCTTCACCACCTGTGTTTCCTCGTCACCACGCCCTGTGTTCCTCGTCACCACCCCTGTGTTCCTCATCCACCCCTTGTGTTCCTCTTCACACACCCTGTGTTCCTCGTCACCACCCCTGTGTTCCTCTTCACCACACCTTGTGTTCCTCTTCACCACCCCTGTGTTCTCATCCACACCACACCCATGTTTCCTCTTCACCACACCCTGTGTTTCCTCTTCACCACCCTTGTGTTCCCTCGTCACCACCCCCCATGTTCCTCGTCACCCACCCTGTGTTTCCTCTTCACCACACCTTGTGTTCCTCTTCACCACCCCTGTGTTTCTCGTCCACCACACCTGTGTTCCTCTTCACCACACCTTGTATTTCCTCGTCACCACGCCCTGTGTTTCCTCGTCACCACCTTGTGTTCCTCTTCACCCACACCCTGTGTTTCCTCTTTACCACCCCTTGTGTTCCACCACACCCTGTGTTCCTCTTCACCACCTGTGTTCCTCGTCACCACTTTTGTGTTCCTCTTCCACCCACCCCTTGTGTTTCCTCATCACCACACCCTGTTCCTCTTCACCACCCCTTGTGTTTCCTCTTCACCCACCCCTTGTGTTCCTCTTCACCACCCCTCTGTGTTTCCTCATCACCCCTTGTGTTCCTCTTCACCACCCCCATGTTCTCCATCCACCCCCACCTGTGTTCTCACCACACCCCTTGTGTTCCTCTTCACCACACCTGTGTTTCCTCTTCACCACCCCTGTTCCTCGTCACACACCTGTGTTCCTCGTCACCCACACCTGTGTTCCTCTTCACCACCCCCTGTGTTCCTCGTCCTACACCCCCTGGTTTCTTTCACCCTATGTTCCTCTCCACACCCTGTGTTCTCTTTACCACCCCTGTGTTCCTCGTCACCACCCCTTGTGTTCCTCGTCACCACCCCTGTGTTCCTCATCACCCACCCTGTGTTCTCATCACCACCCTGTGTTCCTCTTCACCACCCTGTGTTCCTCTTCCACCACCCCTTGTGTTTCTCCACCACCCCTTGTGTTCCTCTTCACCACCCCTTGTGTTCCTCGTCACCACCCCTGTGTTTCCTCTTTACCACCCCCTGTGTTCCTCTTCCACCACCCCTGTGTTCCTCATCCACCCACCCTGTGTTCCTCTTCACCCCTGTGTTCCTCTCTTCCCCCTGTGTTCCTCGTCACCACCCCTGTTTCCTCGTCACCACACCCTGTGTTCCTCGTCACCACACCCTGTGTTCCTCTTCTACACCCTTGTTTCCTCGTCACCACCCCTGTGTTCCTCTTCCACCACCCCTGTGTTCCTCGTCACCACACCCTATGTTTCCTCTTCACCACCTGTGTTCCTCGTCACCACCCCTGTGTTCCTCGTCCACTACACCCTGTGTTCCTCGTCACCACCCTGTGTTCCTCTTCACCACACCCTGTGTCCTCGTCACACACCTGTGTTCCTCTTCACCACACCCCTGTGTTTCCTCTTCACCACCCATTCCTCGTCACCACACCCTGTGTTCTCGTCACACACCCTGTGTTCCTCTTCACCACCCCTTGTGTTTCTCGTCACCACACCCCTGCCTCTTCACCACCCCTGTATTTCCTCTTCACCACCCCTGTGTTTCTCTCTTCCCACCCCCTGTTTCCTCTCCCACCCTTCCTCTTCACCACCTGTTTCCTCTTCACACCCCCTGTGTTTCCTCTTCACCACACCCCTGTGTTCCTCGTCACCACACCCTGTGTTTCCTCTTCACCCACCCTGTGTTCCTCGTCACTACACCCTATGTTCCCTCGTCACCACACCCTGTGTTCCTTCACTACACCCCATGTTCCTCGTCACCACGCCCTGTGTTCCTCGTCACCACCCCTGTGTCCCCGTCACTACCCTGTGCTCCTCGTCACTACACCCTGTGTCCTCGTCACCCACCCTGTGTTCCTCGTCACCACGCCCTGTGTTCCGTCACCCCCCCTGTGCCTCGTCACTCACCTGTGCTCCTCGTCACTACACCCTGTGTTCCTGGTCACCACCCCTGTGTTCCTCATCACCACCCCTGTGTTCCTCGTCACTACACCCTGTGCTCCTCGTCACTACACCCATGTTCCTCGTCACCACGCCCTGTGTTCCTCGTCACCACCCCTGTGTTCCTCGTCACTACACCCTGTGTTCCTCGTCACCACCCCTGTGTTCCTGTCACCACGCCTGTGTTCCTGTCACCACACCCTGTGCTCCTTCACTACACCCTGTGCTCCCGTCACCACCCCTGTGTTCCTCTTCACCACCCCTGTTCCTCTTCACCACACCCTGTGTTCCTTTCACCACCCCTGTGTTCTCGTCACCACACCCTGTGTTCCTTCACCACCCCTTGTGTTCTCGTCACCACACCCTGTGTTCCTCTTCACCACCCCTGTGGTCCTCGTCACTACACCCTATGTTCCTGGTCACCACACCCTCTGTGTTCCTCTTTACCACCCCGTGTTCCTCTTCACCACCCCCCTGTGTCCTCTTACCACCCCTGTGTTCCTCTTCACCACCCCCTTGTTCCTCTCTTCACCACCCCTGTGTTCCTCTTTACCACCCTGTGTTCCTCTTCACCACACCCTGTGTTCCTCGTCACCACACCCTGTGTTCCTCTTCACCACCCCTGTGTTCCCGTCACTACACCCTATGGTCCTCGTCACTACACCCTATGTTCCTGGTCACCACACCCCATGTTCCTCCTCACCACGCCCTGTGTTCCTCGTCACCACCCCTGTGCTCCTCGTCACTACACCCTGTGCCCTCGTCACCACCCCCTGTGTTCCTTTTACACCCTGTGTTCCTTTACCACCCCCTGTGTTCCTCTTCACCACCCTGTGTTCCTTCTTTACCACCCCTGTGTTCCCCGTCACACCCTGTGTTCCCGTCACTACACCCCATGTTCCTGGTCACCACACCTGTGTTCCTTCTTTACCACACCCTGTGTTCCTCGTCACCACACCCTGTGTTCTCGTCACCACACCCTGTGTTCCTCTTCACCACCCCTGTGTTCCTCGTCACTACACCCTGGTCCTCGTCACTACACCCTATGTTCCTGGTCACCACCCCCCATGTTCCTCCTCACCACACCCCTGTGTTCCTCGTCACCACCCCTGTGTTCCTCGTCACACCCCCATGTTCCTGGTCACCACACCGTGTTCCTTTTTACCACCCCTGTGTTCCTCGTCACTACACCCTATGGTCCTCGTCACACCCCATGTTCCTGGTCACCACACCCTGTGTTCCTTCTTACCACCCTCTGTGTTCCTCGTCACCACACCCTATGTTCCTGGTCACCACACCCTGTGTTCCTCTTTACCACCCCCTGTGTTCCTCGTCACTACACCCTGTGTTCCTCGTCACTACACCCTGTGTTCCTCGTCACTACACCCCATGTTCCTGGTCACCACCTCACAGATAATTACCGTAGATAGAACAAACTGCTTTATGATAACAACATAAATGTAACAACGAAAACGTCTAGTGGTAATCCGTAGAGGTGAGTCAGTTAGCCGTATGAACGCTCTGTCTTGACTGACTGACTGACTGACTACCTAGCTAACTAACAAAATGATTTACACGTATTGACTGAGTAACATTACTGCATTACTCATTAACTGATTGGATGATTGGATGTATTACTGACCAACTGAGTGATAGGTACTG